ATACTACTAATGATTCATCACAGTATGAAGATAGGGTTGACCAATGATAGCCCTGTACTATCATCCACCATCTACAAGCCTTAAATGGAGTCTATCTGTATACAGAATAATTTCATGCTATTTTGTCACACAATTCTGGAGCCTTGTTTTCTAACTGTTACTTAAATGTGTCCACAGAAACTATTGATAAAGTACATTATTTTGGATAAGTTCTTTAGTCAAGGACAAAAATAGAGTTAAGAATGATTGGTACAATTTTCAAAGCTACTGCTGCTGAAGAGGGCACTCTTAGCTTTCTTTTTGCAGCAATAGCCCTAATTATTTTATAGTCAATCCTCCCCTCCTGCTTCTCCCCCCCACAACACAGAGTATTAGCAGGCCCATTTGTAAAGTAGTAGTAACACAAAGTGAAACAATGCCATAACTGACATCCAAATTGTTCTGTACAGGGTAGTGGAAATGTTCAGTAATAAATGATATAAAAAGGTCTTTTATTGACAAGCTGCCATGTGCTGTTTGCATTAGAGAATATGAGAAGATGATGGCTGCTGCCCCCAGGTCCCAGTGGCATTCAACTCAGTGAGATAGCAGAAAATGCTTCAGTTTACTTAAAGCATTGATAACACCTCTAAATAATTAACTGAGGACTTCCTGTCTTCAATTACTTAATGCTTTTTTTAACATCTTGAGAGGATTATAAGCAATTTATGGATTTCACATGATGAGTGCATTCACCGCTATTCCCACAAAGCATTTATGGGATCATGTTTCCAAAGCTTTGATGTAATTAAAAATAAGCAGCAAGACAATGGTGCAGTGGCAAGGTGCTAGCCTTCTTCTCTGTTATTTGTAAGGCCCTAGATTCAAAGTCTCAGGAAAGACTAATACTACGGCTTCATTAACGTTCAACTGTTGCTCTGGGAAAACCAGAGGTTTTGAAAAAAGATGAGAAAATCAAAACACACATCCACAGGGGCTGAGACAATAGTTAGTTCAAACATTTGAGATTATGTGCGAAATAAGCTTGATTATTTTAGCTCATTCTGTGAATTTAGAAAGTAATAATTATCCAAGTTGCAAAACCACTGTCATGAATCCAACAGTATGACCTAATGCAAGGCTTGATTTTTACTAACAAAAGAAATGCTCCCCATAATTTTTTTGTTGGCTTAGCAAGACAATGCAGAAAAGACTTACTAGGATGGCTCTACTGAAAAAAAATAGATTGTTCCTTATCTTTCCTCCCTAGCAAGTGCCTCTGAAAAACTATTTTGTTTGTACTCATACTAAAAATGAGGCCCTTTGGAGGCAGAAACTGGTTCTTGAGAGGGAAATAAGGGCATTAGTGAGGTGGCAGTGTTTTCTAATAGGGTTTCAGTCAGTGACCTTATGGAGGTCATCAGCCCTTCTTCAAAAACAGATTGCCAGCCTCTCTCAAAGAAGCAATTCTAAAGTGATTGCACAAAAAGCCATCTCTGTTTTGATGATCTTCCTAATTACCCCAATCCTAATCTCCATTTATTAAAGAAGACAACCGAGTAAAATGAACCCGAACAAATCTGGCAGTACCCCAAATACTCAGATTTCCTGGTACAGTCATTTTGGTTTTAGAGCCAAGTCTGATCTATAGCCTGCAATTGGTCTTGCTAGTTGCTCATTTCTTCCAGACATGGCCAAAATCAAGATGGTTTTACTGATAATTTTGACACTGCTCACCACAGCATTTTATGCTCTCCTTCCTCTTCTTTGATAGATAAGGGCGCCTTAGACTTTTAGGGATGAATGCAATGCCTCTGGTACAGTTGCTTAAGTTACTTATTTCACAGGACCAAGGAACTGAAGTTGCTTTGCTTATTTGATGCCTTAAATGGGACTGGGGCTTTGGAGAGGGTGAGCAAACTGAGGCTCAACTGGAAAAGCCTGAAATAAGGCTGATAATTTGGGAAAAGTAATGGTGGATTATTTGCCCATCTTTTATTACACTGCTTAGAATCTGAGGGTATTATTAGATCTTAGCTGCTTCTGAAAAAGAAAGCCTTGGACTTTAATGTGAACTACAAGTTTCTGGCAATGCATTAAATCACATTTTTTGATTTGGTGCCTGAATAAGGTGCCTAAATATGGATTTGGGTGCCTAAAATATGTAGTTGTGTTTTTATGAGAAGTAGGGAGCAGGCTTGAAATAAACCCTCCAAACCTTAATATGTGCGTGAAGTCTAAAATCCAGGTTTGAAATTTTATGGTAAAGTTCCAGCCCTAGTTCACAGAGATGGAAGAACAAAATGGGTCAGGACTCCCCCCTCCTTCTGCCCTCCCCCACCCACCAAGTACCCGCTTCAATGGCTGCTTCTACAATACAAAAAGCAGTGAGGATTCCCTCAAAGTAAGGAAATTTAGAACAGTGTGACCTGACAGAGCTGCTCTATATTGTACCTTCGTTAGGTATACAACCTGGAACCCCTTTAAGGGAGCTCTGCCTTTTATTTAGCCACATCAAGCTGGTAAGCATGAATCCATCAGAGCTTGGGACTGAGTGCACAGAATTTTATTGCTATATCCCTAATTCTTTTTCCAAGCAAATTGTTATGAACACATTTTAAGCAGCATTTTTTGTGGAGTCCTTATTTCTTTCATTATTTAAAATCTATACTGAAGTGGAAAAACTTATGGCACATGGCTATACTAACTGAGATAAAGTATTGGGATGCTTTGAACATCCATCTAATTGTAATACACATTGTATGGATTTCATATTTGTGTATGGTACTACTATGGGGGAATTCTATAATTTTGGGTGATCTTCAACAGAAAGGGCGGTAGCTATACCATTAGGACCCCCAAGACTGCAACTAAAGTTAGAAGGAAAGAAAACTTTAAAATATATACTTTCTTAAAATACACAAGTGCAGAAATATGACCTCAGATTCAGGGTCTAATAGGATAAAAGCAAAAGTGTCTGAAAGTTAGAATTTTACTCTTTTGCTTGCCACAAACATTTCTAAATTCAGTTTTGTTTCATTGTGTCACAAACTATTGCTAAGAGACTATTATATGAAAGCAATACTTCTTTAATATCAATGTCAAATCTTCTGCACACTCACTTTATTGACTCTTTGGGATTCTTTCAAAACAAACATTCTATAGTAGATGTTCATGAGTTCCTGGGAAATTGCTAAGAGTGACAAATGCTTCTCTGAATATTTTTCTTTATTGAACGCCAACAAAATGCTTGGCTGAGGGAAAAGCAAGTTGCTATTGCTATAACCAAAGGGTTTATACTCTAAAATCAGTTACAGGAAAAAACATAGAACAAAACCCTCAGACGCACCAAGCACCAGCTGACAGGTCACTCCCAAGCTGATTTCACAGTTTCTGTTTTCCTGTAATCTCAAACACAAGAAACCATAGCCTGTTCTCCCTTATACTGATGCAAATCCAGAGTATCTCCAGTGGAATTCTCCATTAACACTGTGTGGCAGAGTGCAGAATCTGACTTAGAGTATACAAAACTAACATGTCTTGTCTGACACTTTCCATCAAGTATGTGTTCTGCATTGATATATATAGCATATTTTAATGTTTGGAAATTAAATTCATTATTATTAACAACAGAGAAACAAGAGACACCAGCTGGGGAAAAATGTAGTAATTAAAATAGATTAAGGTTTGTGACACCAACTGAAAATATTTCTTGAGCTGCAGGCAAAACTTGGGATCTAAAAGTTACACAGAGGTGGTGGTATCAATATGGTGAGAAGTAGGGGTGTGTGAAATGGGCCATATTCGATTTGGATTCGGCATGAATTGGGGACAGTGATTCGATTTGTTGATTCAGATCACTGTCCCTGATTTGATTCGGCCAAATCCAAATCTGAAGATTCGATGCTGATTCAGAAAATCAGTGATTCAGCCACAGAAACAGCTTTAGATGTTTTTTCTATATACCTTGAGGTACCAGGCATGGCTCGTGAATGCTGCAATGGTAAGGACAGTTGGAGCATCCCACAGGAGTGCAGGGGGCCCCCGCATGTTCAGCGGTGGACTCGGCACTGGGCCGGAAGTACTTCCGGAGGGACACACCCTGCCCCCCCCCACTCCCATCTGGCTTGGCAATCAGCCACAGGGAGACCCTGGGTGTCCCTCCAGACCCAGAAGGCACCAGTCACCGAGCTGGGGCGGGGGGGCTCGTGCTCCCCGGCAGACCCAGAAGTGGACCAGAAGTGCTTCTGGTCCACTTCTGGGTCCACTGCTGAGTGTGCTGAAGACCGCCCCATGCTCCTGTAGGACACTTCATCCACCCCAGCATCTCAGCATTCATGAGGCACCTGGCACCTTGAGATATGTAGAAAAAACATTTAAAGCTGTGTCTATGTCAAAATCACCAAATCTTTCCAAATCTCTCCGAATTGATTTGGAGGCTTCCAATTTGATTCAGAGAAATTAAAGGGTCTCCTGATTTGATTCAGATTTAGAGATTCAGCCACCAAATTGAGCCAAATCTCCGCCGGATCGAATCAGCAACCAAAGCTTCACACAGCCCTAGTAAGAAGGTCTTATATCTGAGAACAGGGCATTACCTTCTCAGAGCTTTGCATCCTTACCTGATACAGTATACTGCATTTTGCCTGCAGTGTCAGTGTATATAAGCCCTTTTCCACTTTGATTGATCTGGTACTCTCTGATGATACCATTTGGTTTCCTGGGTATGGTCCAGCTCAAATGCAATGCTGTTGAGCTCAAAGCAGTGACTGTTGGTGGCTGAACACTCTCTGGGATTCCTTGGACAGTGACTGCAACTACCTGAAGACACATGAATTAAACAGCAATTTATTGTAATAGTGCACTAGATACTCTGATCAATGAGAATGTCACTTTTGTTTTAAAATGTTGTTGTTTGGTCTGGCATATCATTACCAAGGGCTTGAAGAACTAGTTACTTTCCTCCTTCCCCCCACCCTTCTTTTTTCCCAATGAAATCTGACCTTGAATACATTACATAAGTCTATGTCTACAGTTTATAACAACAAGTTCACAACATTTCAGCTGTACCGTATAACACAGGATGAAACAACAAAAAACGTCTTGTTAGAGAACTCCTGATAACTCTCTTCCATATGGTTCCTCAGTGTCTTTGCATTTTAACGGCCTGATTTCCTATATTTTAAGCACCAGTAAACATGGGGCTAAACTTCCTTGCATCCACTAAATCTGAATGTTATCAGTTCATAGCTGCTGATTCTAATTTTTTTTAAAGGACCCCAGAAGGCTTTCAAAGGACAGTACAATCTAGAATTCACTCAGATCTTTTCAAAATTGAAACAAAAAATAGGTCAGTTCTAAACTCCAAGATGCACAGAAATGTAAAACTGGAAGGGTCTCCCACGCCGTCATGTCTAGTCGTCCCCATTTGCAGGCAAATATTTGTCCACAGGATCATCCATTCTGACTCACTCCAACCCCCACATACTACAGGAACAAAACACCTTGTAAAAACAAACTCTCCCACATGCCATAGGTAAAAACCACAGGACAACAGAGGACCACCATATCCTGGTGCTGCAGTGACAGAGAACGTCTCAGGTTTATATGCTCTGAGGTATTCTTAGCATGTACCATGTTGCAGAAAAAGGGGTACCCCCCAACAGCCTTAGCCAATCATATTTTGGGGGGAAATTCCTCCAAACCCTAAAATTTGGTGATTAGCATGATTCTGAATGCATGAGCAAGACCTTCCAGACAGGTACCTGGGAGGTTTCTGAGTAGCAGTAGGAGCACCAGCTGATCCTAGCTAATCTCTCAGCTCTAGATGTGGTTAATGTCCAACACTTTAGTGCTTCCCTCCTTCCCCATATTCCCACCCCCCAAAAAAATTCCAGAAGCCATTCATGAGGAAAATTAATTTCTTCATGAACCCTATTGGAAACCAGTAGAAGGTGTCTATGACTACCAGATGCCTTACATAAGGACAACGAGGTTCTCTTAACTCCATTATGGGGACACCAATGACTATTATACACTTCTGTAATTCCGCAGATCTCAGGAGTGTTATTTCTGATGTACTCTGATATAAGAGGAGAATTTGGTCCTTTGCTTTTATGAGCTCTTAGGTATTTTTATTATTACTATTATACATGATTTATATGTATATATGTCCTTGACAATATGCTTGCTTAGTGGATGTGATGGTATCAGCATCTCATTTCAGAGATTATAACTACAAGAGTTAGCTTATAAGAGGTGGATAGAACAGTTACCTCCTTGTACTTCTGGGGTGATTTTTGCAAAACTGCAGTTAGGCAGGTTTGAAAAGTTTGGTCATGATTTAGAAGAATGGTCTCACACTCAAATCAGTTGGAGGACCTAATTCCCTGCCTTTCAGGTGCTTGCAGACTGTGCTGAAGCTCTGACCATGGAGGTGGGGCTTCTACCCACAGTGCTGCTGGGGCTCCAGCCCATTGGCTCTCTCTGGTTCACTGGCTGCCACCATGGGACAAGCCCAGCTGGGGCTCTGACTGCAGTGGTGGAGCTTCTGTTCTCACTGGGATGCTCATTGCTGCTGCAGGAGGAAGCCCTGCCACTGTGGCTATGAGTAGGGCAAAAACCCATGGGCTGTATGAGAAGGGATGTTGGAGGCTGATAAACAGTTAGAGAGCAGAGTGAAAGACAGATACATTGTGAAGCTGTGATCAGGAAAAACAGGCAAAAGATGCAGTGACAAGGAGTGGGGAGAGAGAAGAGAGAAAATATGAACGGAGGTAGTAGTGTGTATAGAAAGTTGAAGGTGAGGAGTCTGAATCTGGTGCTGCCACTGGAAGCCACAGAAGGGATATAATGAGTGAAGCTGTGATGAGATGGCTGATGAGACTGGAGCAGCATGAGAGAGAAAAAAGAGGTCACAGTCATCCTGATAAGAAACAATGAGGACATTAATTTGTGTAGTCTTGCTTTTTGGGAAAGAAAGCATATTTTTAACATTCTCTTTTGTGCTTGACCTAAGTGTGCTCCCTATTTAATATATCACTTTCAGTGTCATATTTGCAGGTTTGAAGGGACTAAGGTATTACTTATCAATTGGGTCTTCATGCTAAAATGTACAAATTGGGATTTAACCCAGTCACCTGTTAACACAATATTTTTAAACGAGTCACAAACAAGCTATTGTTGTTTTTCATACATTCACCCATACGATGCTTCAAACAATACCTTTCCAATGGCATTTTTATGATGCCAACATTGCTGCTAAAACTACTCCTATAAAAATAAATACACTGACCTTGCTGCTGTCTGTACAACCAGCAACAGTACAGGCTCTCAGCTGGTATGAATACTCTTGATATGGCTGGATACCACCTGTGTCAAGGAAGCTCAGTTCTTTTCCTCTAAAACGCTCCATCCCATTTCGGAAAACAATATAGTGAGTGATAAGACCTAAACCAGAAGAGAAAGTTTGCCACTGATCACAGTATGGCATGTTCAACTCAGAATTTTCACTCCAAAATATTACAATGACATTTTTAAGAGACCATCTTTAGAGACAGCCACTTCATTCAAAGATTGCTCCGAAGAATCCCCCAAAGTACTGAATACTATAATGCCCTGCCTTTTTCAGAAGCCCATTCCCATTAAATCAAGTAGCTTTTTTTGGCAGGGGAAGAAACCCTTGGAATGAGCCAGCACAAATATCCTGAATGTAAGAAAATAGCAATATGAATTTGCAAAACAAAAAACAGAAAAACTCACATGCATGCTTTTTTCAAATAGTGGAGGAACAAATATGAGAATGATATCATCACTGTAGACCATGCTGAGGTTAGCTGTACATACTAATATGGCTGTGAAAGAGATTCTCATAGACAGGTTTCATTCTATTAGAACAGCTGGCATAGGAAATACCATTTTTATGTACAAACAATACCATTTGGTTGAAGCGGTTCTTTCCATTTTAGAAGTATTGCATCTTCCCGATTGTCTACTTTGGCCCATCTTGGTGGGTTTACAGCCTGGGGCACATCTTGCTGAGTTCTAGCTCTGCTGATTTCACTGAAACCTCTTCCATAGCTGTTCCACACAGCTACCCTATACTCATAGGTGACATAGGGGTCCAGGTTCAGGTCTAGAATAAGAAAAATGACACAGTCATGTAAATCATGTATAAAAGCCCTGCTCATGACTAATTTTTATTAAGGTACACAAAAAACTTTTCATCTCTAGGTACAGTATATGTCAATGGGACTATTCAAATACTTATGCTCACTTAAGCGGTGTCCTCAGTCAGGACTTAAGGAAGGAACCCACTGAAGACAATGGTAATGGCAAAACTTTCACTGACTTCAGTGGGATCAGGATTAGTTCCTGTATGGTTTCACCTGCCTAAAGTTACTACCCAGGCCCTGGCCAGGAGATTAGTGTATGAAGAAAGTCCATCATTACTTTCTTTTCACATAGAACACGTAATGAAAACCAGGTCAGAAACTTGTATTCCAGAGTGATTTAAATGTCACAGAAGAAGCAATGATCCCATTTCCTTTTACCTGTAAATGAATATCGGTTTGGGCCTCCACTGTACACTGTCTCCTCTGCAGTTGGACAGACATCTTGATTGGCCTCTTTTTCTGTAGCGTTCTGAGAGCCTTTTACCCAAACACAAATGTGGGCACTTGAATCAAAGTCACACCTCCCACAATACGCTGTTGCTGCCATGGATATGGGGCACAAGGTATTAGCTTTACATTGTTCTTCTACCTGAGGAATATACATTATTTTAAATGAAGAGATAAAAAGAAACTGAAACTTATCTTCCTTACCTCTCTCAGTGAAGAGATTTGAAAATGTAAATGTCACTGTTCACTGTCCTCTTTGAACCAACACTCTTATTTAGTTAGAGGAGAAAGAGCAGACTGAGCCATTCATCCAGATCAAATAGATGCAGTGAGCACCATACTTTTTAGAGTTTGGAAGAGAGCCACACACAGAGCCTGTGTGTCCTGCTTTGCCATTAGTGTCCTGCTTTGCCATTAGTGCTTCCAAAAACATTACAAATTATTCTGATGTCCTTTTGCTACAACATCAACAAATCTTCTTACTCACAGGAAGCCTAGTTAGCTGGATTTATCAAAAGGGGAAGAGTCAACATGTATATGAAAGGGAATACAATGCTCTCCCACAAACTGAATGTGCCTCCTTTGTACGGACCCAGGCACAGTGGATGTTAGCAGAGTTCCAGCCCTCATACATAGCTGTACATAGACACAAAGGCAATTAATCATCACAAAAATGGTCTTTGTACTACTCAAAATGAAAACTCAGTATAAAGCCCAGATAAATGGTGCTCCACACCCCAAGCTTGCCATAGTTTTACTGCAGTATGGGTGTCCACAGCTATGGATGAAGGGCAGGATTTAGCCCATATTGAACAATCTATACAATTGTAAATGCACATTTAACAACAATTTTAATGGGAACCATTTCCAAGAAGCCACAAGGAAGAGAAAAATAACTCTAAAAATATATAGACAACTTCAGGAAGGAACAAACTGTAGTATTTGCTGCAATTATTTTTACACATTAAGCTATGAACTTTAGAAAGGAAAACAAATTAATAGCTCATATGTGATGCTTCCTTAATTCACCCTATGACATAATTTTGTTGGACGATTATCAAACGTTAAGTAATGTTTATTCTCAAGACTTGGCAGTTTCTAATGAAATTACTTTGATATATATTATAAGCCAGTATCTGTCCTAGAATTTCCATACTTTCAATATTAGAATTGTCATCTATTTGATATATAGAGATTTACCATCCTGTGTAGTGAAAGCGAGCAAAAAATCATTTAAAATATGCACAGCTTCCTGTATTTTAATAAATATATTTCACTAATTTGGAAATGGCCAAATCTTTGCCCAATTGTTTGGTGAGAGACGCATTTAACAAGGGATTACCTAGTGTTTTAATCACTGCCCCTTTCAGCCATTTTGTTTCGCATAAACTAAGTGCACTGGTGAGCTCAGAGGTGACTCACCTCTCTCTGGGAGCTGATGATTCATTTTGAGTACCAGCAAATGCACTGATACAAAGGGGAGCTCCTTTATTCCAAAAGCAGGAAGACTAGTTTGTGGATTAAGGTGACAGACAAACAATAGATAGGGCACCAATACATGGAAGAATTTAGGACTGGTCTACTTCTTAGTGTTAAATTTAGTGAAAAATCTCAGAACTATTAAATTTATTCTGCCTCACAGGCAGTAATGCAAGAGGTGGGTGAGCAGGACATCAGCCTTGAGTATTGATTTACATGCCAGAATGGCAGTCCCCGAGGGGTCTGTACCATTGCTAATGTCTGTCCCACTTCATGGAGCTTGCACCATGGCAGCAGCAGCTGCCCATGGCCTATGTGTGAGGACATAAGTGTTTGACTTGCACCAAATTCCTAGCTATGCCTCTGCTTGCCAGGCTCAGAATGGACCTATTTTTAAATTCTGTACTTTTTTTTCAATGTATATTTCTTTTTTTTAAACTATTTTGACAATCCTTTTGCTGTTTTCAATATGGTAAACAAATATAGGTTGTCTAAAGACATCTATAGATGGTTGCAACTAAAATTTTTTGGAAAAGGCATTTTCCGAATCTTTTTTTTCAGAAAGAGCAATTTTTCAACACAAAATTGTGTTTGAAATATTTAGACTAACAGTGATAGTGAACGAAGAAAGTGAATGAAATTAAATCTTTAGCTAAACTATGCACTCTTAAAAACCTATAGGTTTTGGATCAGAATGCATGATCTCAGTTGCACAAAGTACTAAGCACTCATGAGAAGCTGAATGCCCATTGTGCCATTTACTGAAGCTGCTGAATTGGACACTATAAATCCAACCAGTTCAATGCTCATGATTTTGTTACTTTTCAGGAATCCCTCTGCACAGTCCTTTGTAGAAATGGGACCTAGATGTTTGCTAGAAAGCAGAATCTTTAGGGAATGTAAATGGGCAGGATAACTCTTCATTCCTTTCCTCATAATCTGGAGATTCTCTAGCTTTATCATTAATTTTTAATAATTAATAACAAAAATATGTCAGATCAATAGCTAATTCCCAGACTTCTGCAGCACAGCATCCCAGAAGCAAGTCCCCACAAGTAAGGAATCTAGAAGGCCTGGCATCTGGTTCAGCTAATCCGTATATTTTAACATTTTTCAAGTATTTTCCTTTCTCAGCTCCCTGTTAGTTTTAGAAGTTGTTAATCCTACTTTTCAATAATGTTCATGTTGAAGACAACTTTTAATAGGATTTCAGTATCTTGGCCAGTTTTGACTCATGGTTAATTTAATCCCCCTCTTAATCTATTTTTCTATTTAATGGAAGCATTTTCAGAATTCTGCTCAAGCAATTCAGGAGAAATTTTGAGTAGCCACAGGGAGGGCCTGCAAGCCAGGTATCCTGGGCTCTAGTTTCAGCTTTGCCACTGATTCTAGGTTCAGCTTTGATCTGGGTGAGCAATATATAGCCATGTTTTCAAGTGGCCAATAATTTTTGATGTTTTAGCTGGGGGGGGGGGGGGGGGGGGGAGGAAGGCCCCTCCTT